ATGTGATTCAAAAAGTCTGTCCATATAAAATAAAATGCTATAATCTACTAGCTACTTGTCATCTTCCTCGTCACTATCATATAAATCGAATGATATTTGATTTTCAATCTCATTATAGTTGTCATCAAAGTCATGCAGAGTGTCATCCTCTTCCTCATCACTGCTGGATTCCTCTCGTTGAGCTACTTCATCTATTTTTCGAATGACATTTTCACTAATCATAGTAGGAGCCTCATCATCACGACTGAGTAGCTGTATCTCGCTATCATCCACTTCAAGTTCAGAAAGGTCAGCATTCCCGTCTTGTTGGTATGGTTGATTATCATAGAGTGGATCCACGTCATCATCTCCCTCCTTCTCAAGAACGTCATATACATGTCGTGGACACACTTTATGTACGATATGCCAACTACCACCATTCTTTAAATCCTTGATGTAGAATACCGGATTAGCTTGACTAGCCAAAATATAAGGGTCATGTGTATACCACTTTCGACCCAGATTCACACTTGTTACATAGCCATCTGATCGTATTCCATTTCTCTTGTCTCCTACATCCCACCAATCGCATTTGAACACAAACACACTATGACCGTAACAATATTGAATCTTGATGATTTCCACAAGTCGACCATAGAAGTCTATGGTCTCTCCATTGTGGTCGCCTATCACAACAATTCCACTATTCTGTGTACGGTGATTCTTGTCACTATCATGAATTTGGTAACGAACTCCATTGATGATGATTCCATTATATCTAGTCATTCTCTCATTTGCTCCTAGTCCTAGGACATATAGATGGTCTTTCTCTTTAAGCAAACCATCCAGAAACATTTGGGAAACCTATACAATCAATAAAGCAAGTAAGTTAGATGTATTACGTGGGCTAAGTGCACACAAATGCAATATGGTCCAAGATTGCAATGACAAGACAGATTATCTTACATATGTCTTAAACCAAGCTGGAAAGTTAGCTTCAATGATTTCCCTTGTACTGTTAGGATGTTGCTTCATCATCTCTTCCTTATGGATACTGTGCACAGCTTATAAATTAGAATTTGAGCTAAGATTTTACACGGACAATGAAAAACAAAAGAGTTTTAGCTTACTTAAAGTAGTCTTCTATTTCTTCGCAGTTATTGAGTATGTACCACTGAATCTTAAGAAATTCTGCATATGATATTGGTTCATAATTAGGTGCTCCTAATGTTCTCCCTTGTTGGTTGAAAACAGAGAACCCACTAGACTCCACCACTTCAGATCCGTCATCATTTCTGTTTAGACGAGTTGCTCTTGTTTCAACTCATTGCAGATATCTAGAGCAAAATTCAGAACACTCTTTTGCTATGTATCTTTCAGCAATTGATCCCTCGGGATAAGCCTTATTACGAACAAAACTTTTTAAGGTACCTAAAAACCTAATGACATGCAAACAAATAATTTCATTAGATATCAATTATATTGTACTCCTATAGAAGAGTTAATTAGATTTATATAGTTTACCCTTACTACCTACCTTTCCATGATGATCTTTGTCCAACCACCTTCTATGACCCATGTAGCACTCTTTCTTTCCATATTGCAAACGTAAGCTACATGTCTCGTTATTACACACGGGACATGCTAGTTTACCCTTAGTAGTCCACCCACATAACATTCCATACGCTGGAAAGTCGTTTATTGTCCATAACAATGCAGCATGTAAGCGAAAAGTTTCCTTAGCATATGCATCATAAGTATTGACCCCATCTTCCCACAATTCTTTCAATTGTTCTATCATAGGCTATAAATAAACATGTATATTATTACCCGGGGATTGCTTTCCAGGTATCAGAACACTGAGGGAAAAAAAAGGCTCTGTCATACAGCTCCAAGGAGGTAGATTATATGGTGTTAAGACTACAGGCCACATGCTATAGCTAGTACTCATGTTTTCGAATGGATTAAACCCATCACTAAGAAGAGCAAGTCGAACATTCCTAGGATCCGAAGCAAACCAGCTATGATCTCTATCAAAGCGCTTCCAAGTTTCTCCGTCAGCAGGATGCCTGAGTACATCATCATCAACACGTTTTTCCTTATGCCACCTCATGTCTTTAGCAAGGCTTTTGTCATGAACAACCTTTGTAGCCTATCTTTTATCGGGAAATACCGAGCTTTTTTTTGGGCCACCTCCTTCTGTTTACCAGGTTTGTACCTAGATTCCCCACATTTTGGACATGTTTTTACATTTTGGAGAGGACATCTAAACAGAACGCAATTGTTGGGACATGCGTCTATTATAGTGTAACCAAAACCGAGATCTTTCATGTATTTCTTAACCTCATAGAATGAAGTTGGAAGTGTGTCCCCATTTGGTAAAGCATCCTTGAATAGCTCAAGATTCAAGTTAAATGCTTTATCACTACTATTGGTTAGTAGTTTATTATTCATCATTTTCATGACGAAGGATAGTTTCGAAAACTTCTTGCATCCCGGATATAGAGGACAGTTGGCATCATTGATTAACCTAGCTAGATTGCCAGAAAGATTTGCTAAACAAGGATTATTAGTTGTTGCCCCATCTGTTGAAGGAAAACTTCCATCAGTAGCTCGGCCTAAATCATCCAGCATATCAGGAATGTCAGTATCTATCACTTCAATTTCATTCTCAAAAGGAGAATGCGGCGGGTTTGTGTTGCTATTGCTGCCAACCTCAAATGGCTCGCCATGATGTATCCATCTAGTATACGTCTCCACCATGCCATGCCTAAATATCTCACTTTTCACCGTGCTTAGAACTTTAAAGTAGCAATTATTGCACTTTTTACACGGGCATCTTATTCTACCAAGTTCATCAACATGGTTAGTTGAAACCCTTATAAATTCCTCAACCCCTCTATATATTCTTCAGAAAATCTATTCTTTAGCTTCATCCAATCTTTGTTCATTTTCACTATGCATAAAGATAAGACTAACCTTCACTGCTGGCCTGTTTTGGGAGTTCCTAGATCACAGTGAAGAATGTCGAAATCACCTGCACATATAAGACCCATTCAACATGAGCAAACCTATTACTTAAACTCCTGCACAAGTTGTACTTTTAATGACTTAAACACATGTAAGAACAGAATGTAAGGATCAATCACTCCCTATATTCAATTAAAAACAAAATTGGAATAGAAGTTCTTCAATTTGGCTCTTATATTAACTTCCCTCTCAAATCAGGGCCAAAGAAAGGATTCTAAGGCCAGCCCCATGTATGTTGCACTTACTTCATCTTTAGTTATTACTTGGCAGTTTTTACAGAGGAAAATTCACCCTCACATATGTTTTCAATCATCAAATCAATCTCTAGAAATAGATTGAGCAAGAATCTAACACAAACTCACTTTGTTTAATAGAAAAATCAACACAATGACCCTAAAACAAAGATTCCACCAATCTAAACCCATACACACATACATAGAAGCACTTATGTCTCGAAGGGAATTCACACAACCAAGAAAGCACAAGCATGTGAGAACAAAATCATAACAGCCTTGCCTCTTGAAAAGCAAACTCATGTACAAGGAGGATGATGATGATATCAGCGTCCTAAACAAATGAGAACAGTACAAAAACCTTTGACAGAGGAACGAGGAGAATGAAAGAAGGATGTTGTTTCATACCGACTAAGAACTCCGAAATCAATTTGATGCCGGTAATAGCTTCCTTTCTATTACGATTCCTTGGCTAGCGATTTAGTAGGCTCGAGTCTGTGGAGGTGTGCGAAAGGGTTAGAAGGAACATCGAAGAGAAAGCACAAGCGGCAACATCAAAATCAAAAAAATTTGCATGCACAGAAAATCCTTTGATGCAGAACAGAGGAAATTGAAACAGGAATTCTACTACTTACATGCGCCAAACCAATCCGCCGTCAGAGTAGCCTTCCGAGATACTCGATTCCCTTCCCGGAATTGACTGGGCGCGAGCCTTTTGGGGAGACGAAAGGGTTTAATCAAAGTAAATTTTGTGGGCGTAAGGGTTTCAGAGAGTGAAGGAAAAGGGGGACTTCGATCGTCTAATGAAGTGGTATTTTTCTTTTTGTTTTCTTGATAGAATAATGAATGGCTGTTAGCAAAACGACATGGTAAATGAAATAATGTATTTTCTTGGTGCCTTCTACGGTACCCCGGATGAAATCTAGGGTACCACATACCTTGAGTATGAAAATGCTATCTAGACCTCGAATTAGCAGGATTTTTGGACCTGATACTATACCCTAACCCTTAATGAGTGAACCCTAGTTCCTAATTATTTAAATTGTAAACTATAAACACTAAGATGGTGCATTCATTTTTGGCCTTTATTTGGACAAATCATAACCGTCGATTATTATTCTAATTAAATTGATCTTGGAGTATTAGATTTAGAGAACTAAAACCTAGATTTTGATCTTCAAGGGTTAGAGTATAGTATTATGTCCAAAAGATCAGTCAATTCATGGTCTGAATAGCGTTTTCATACTCAGGGTATGTGGTACCCTGGATTTCACCCTGGGTACCATAGAATATATATATATATATATGGCAAAGGCTAGCGTACACCTGACATACGCTATACGCCTGTGTTCACACTTATAAATTATTTTTAATTTTTAATTAAATTAACGGTAAAAGATAATTACAACCACACCCACTAATAATTTTTTGTGTACGTTTTAATCACACAAATTTTTTATCCGACTTTATACTTAAATCAATAACCATTATATAAAGCATAGTATTTTCATTCTTCCAATTACGATTCAAACACCTGAATTACTATTTAGAAGTTTCAAGTTTCAATCCAATTTATTCAAAGAGTAACTCAAACTCATCTCCATCCATCCTCCGGCGCCTCTTCTTCCCCCCGACGAAACCAGCTCCTCCATCCTCCGACAAGATCATTCATCAACCGCAACCAAGGAAGGGGGAGGCCCATGGGCCGTTGCGGTGACGCTGGACTCTCGGGATCCGTTGGAGGATTTCAGGCAATCGATGGCGGAGATGGTGGAGGCCAACGGGCTGCGCGATTGGGAATCTCTGGAGAAGTTGTTGGGTTGTTACCTGACAATGAACGAGAAGAGCAACCACGACTACATCGTCGCCACTTTCGTCGATTTGCTCGTCGGCCTCTCTTTCGTCGCCACCGCTAAGGATGCGGCGCCGGAGGAGGGTTGTTGTTGCTCGAGCCGCCACCACCGCGGCCGGCAACATTACTCGCCGTCGTCGCTGCTCTTGTTCTACACTTCTTTCTCTTCGTCTTGTAGTTCGTCGGAGGATTCTTCGTCAACCCCGACGAACCAAGCCGAGAGAATAGCAAGCAAGCAAGCGGAGGATTAGCAAGCGTGGAGCAGGCGACAGGAGATTGGGATCTTCAGCCCTGGGGCTAGGTCTCTCGAAAACCTCTTTCTCGATCAACAATGGCGCTGACCTTAAGGATGGCAACGAGCGGGATGTGTCAACGAGTGCACCGCTACATCGAAAAGGTCGGCGGCGCCGGCGAGAGCTACGAAGACCTCACGGATTCGCTTCCGGACGACGACTGTTGCTACCCCATCTTCAATTTTGACTTCGTCACCGTCGCGCAAGATCTTCTTTCATTGCCTGAGCGAAGAAGACAGTGATCGTGCTTCTCCTCGCACTACCGCCGTCGCACCAATTTCTCCGCCAGTTGAATTAATTTTAGTTTTTAAGTTTGTGGGTTTGTATGCTCTTCAAGCTATTTCTTGCCATCTAAATTTGTAGGAGAGGTTCCGAGCTGAAAAATGGAAGAGGGAAGGTTGAGTTGTTTTGTTTTTGTTTTAATTGCTTTGTGATATTGGGTTGGGCTTATTTCAAATACAAATTGGGTTGTTCGTTTAATTGTTTGACGGATGGGAGTAAATAGTATTGAAAGATAAATGAATGAGTGTGGTTTTAATTATAATTATTGATTTTACCTGTAATTAATTAAAAATAATTAATAGGCGTGAACATAGGTGTACAGCGTACGCCTGGCGTACGCTAGTCTGAACCATATATATATATATTAGTTATTTTTATTCACATTAAATCATAGGTAGTAATATTATAATGAATAGGAAAAATCGACAATGCAAAGTTTATGAGTATATACAGTTGCCTCAGAACAGAAACCCAAATAACATTGAGACCCTCGTGACTTCTAGTCGTAGCGGCTGATAGTCCGATTCAAGTCAAATTAACACGTTAAATTAACCTAACATCCCCATATTGGGTTATGTATAATGTACAATTTAACCGATTAGGACTCGAGTTTGTGCAATTGCATATAAGACTCTAAGTTTAGGCAATTAGATGTTGAGTATGTCCCTTATAGGTTTACAGTTCAATGCCTATGAATTGAGATTTTGAACTAAATTAGTGTTTAATTTAGAGTTGCAGGTAAATAATTTACTGACGATTGTTTGTCATATTAAATGAACATCCAACACTTAATGATATTTTAATGATATAGTATACTCTTTATATTAACTCCTATGAATAGTTAATTTGACAATCTATTTTGTCATTTTAGACGTTTCATTCTTCCCTCCATTATTTCCCGCCATTACTAAATTCATATTGTGACAAATTTGCAAACCGTCATTTTAATGATCAAGTACACTCTTTATATTAACTCCAATTAATAGTTAATTTGACAATATATTTTGTCATTTTAGACATTTCATTCTTCCCTCCATTATTTTCCCGCCATTACCAAATTCATATTGTGACAAATTCGCATACTGTCATTTTAATGATTAAGTACACTCTTCATATTAACACCAATTAATAGTTAATTTGACAATCTATTTTTGTCATTTTAGATATTTCATTCTTCCCTCCATTATTTTCCCGCCATTACTAAATTGATATTGTGACAAATTCGCATACTGTCATTTTAATGATCAAGTACACTTTTCATATTAACTCTAATTAATAGTTAATTTGACAATCTATTTTGTCATTTTATTCATTTCATTTTTCCCTCCATTAGTTTCCCGCCATTAATAAATTCATATTGTGACAAATTCGCATACTGTCATTTTAATGATATAATATACTATTCATATTAACTCATGTGAATAGGTAATTTGATAATCTATTTTTTCATATGAATCATTTGTCATTTAATAATTTCATTTTTCCTTCATAAGTTCCTGCCAAATTGATATTATCAATAAACATAATATGACTCATCATGCTTTGTCATATTATATCATCTCCTCTGCAATTGATGTTGGACATTATGACAAAACAACTTGTCACAAAAACTATCGACATTATGACAAACCCCTAATTTGTCACATAATACAACCCACATTTCCCCCCCCCCCCCCCCAAACCTCCCGCTAAAAAGCCTTCTCATCAACACACTACTACGACAACGAGACTTGTCACACGAAACATAGTATGCTATGTAATGTGACAACATAAAATACGACAATAAATGTTGTTAGATTATATTGTTCTATTGTCATCCCATCGAGATTTTTATGACAAATTACCAATGACAAAAAGATTTTCATCATAATAGAATGTTAATGTGACGCATGTAAATGACAAAAGAATAACTTGTCACAAAAGAACACATGCCTATGTATGAAAAATTACAAAAGATTTACAATTGAAAAAGGAGGTCTTCTGTTGGTTAGGTTATCGATCGGTCATCTTCTTCTGTTGGTTAGGTTATCGATCGGTTATTTTGGTATAACCTTGTCGAATCACTTAGTTAACGATTATCCGGTTAACCGACAAAATAACCGAGAACCGACTATACGATTATGGTTAACCGACTAATTTAAACGATGCGAGTAACGATAAGTTTAAAGTGTTTAATGATTAACCGAGAACCGATTAAACGGTTCCGGTTATAACCGAATCGATTATCAGCCCTACTAGGAGGGATTGTAACACCCCATCATCTGTGAAATATAGGTAAAGTTACGTATAAAACTTGGCAAATTTCTCACTATTTTAATACAAAATATTAATAAAAATCTCTAATTCACTAAAAGAATGTAATTTGAGATAATATCTATTTGAATATATCTTGAACCATACATTTTGTAACTACGTATTCCACCATGAAAGTATGTTCATATTATCGTACATTTTTTTGAATCATGAATGATTTATTCTTTGTACAAAAATTAATTCATTTGAAATTATGTTCTTGAAACTTCAAATTTAATATCAAAAGTCATCACTTTCCTTCTTGCAAAAAAAGAGTTAAATTAAAAGGTTGAGTAAAAAGTAACTCAGGCAAGCTATGGTATTGGGAATTGCTATTCGTCGTCCTAAATTTTCTTATTCCTCACCCTAACTAAATTAATTTTACTTTAATGTCCTTAATTCATTATTAACTATAACTTATCGGGAAAAGAGTAAAAACAAAAGCTGCACCGACATAATTTGGGAGGGCTACCAGAGATCTTGTCCATATTTCGAGGGCATTACAATGGACATCTGCCACTTCTCCTCATCTTCCACTTAGAAAATGAATCGAATGGCTACGTATTCAATCATGCATCTCTTATTTTGAAATGAACACAAGCATTTCCATGTGGCACATGGATTAATTCAGTAGACTCTGATGCAATTTAAGGTGACCGCTGATAGGAATATTTCTTGTGATAACTGGGTGGACCAACATCAAATTCGTTGGAGTTTAGCGCATGATAACTATAATGGTGGGCGTCAATGGTCTATCATGACATCCAACATGGCAGAGAACATCAATGGTGTTTTCAAAGGTATTCGTTCACTTTCTATAGCTTCTCTTGTGCAACATACTTATTGGCCATTTTTGGAGAAATTCGATAAGATGAGGTTGGAGACAGAAGCACAAATTAGAAGTGGTCCTTCACAGTACTCCATCAAGTGCGAAGAGCTGATGAAGCCGTGGTCACAAAAGTCAGTTGGACGTCTGGTGACATCTAGATGCCACTCCATTACCTCCGAGTGGAAGGCTAAAACCTCCTCACTGTATGGAGTCATCGCTACGAACTCATGTCGATGGTTCCAGAAAGCAAGCGACTCTCTGGAGGCGTGTACCAACTACTGCCCACGCGATGGCCTACGAGTAGTTTGGCGAAGGAAAAACCTAACCTCAGCCTCAGGATGTGGCGGATGAGGCACAGTCTGCCTCATGCCAAACTGCCAGAGCACGCGGTCTGGATGATGCCACATCACTGCTGAAAAGCATATCAGTGGCACTACTGCTCGAAACGTCTCAGACTGTATCACACTACCTCTGAGATGATGTGCTCTTTCAACGTAAGGTTTCCACTACACAAAAAATGGTCACATTATTATCCCTAAATCTAAAACAAACAAATGAAAACTATTCTATAAAATTAAATGTTATATACTAACCACCATGGTTTCTATCTCGTCAAACCACAACTTGTACTGGAATAGCTGGTCACCATACTGGCGAGTGTTGGCCGGAAGCCATCGAAGTCCACGTAGGGATGCATCCTCGACAATCTGCGCCCTTGTCTTTGAATGTCGCGGTGTCAGATGTGGGAATCGCTCCCACGCACGGAGCTGCAGTAGGGCGAGCCATCCACCAAGGTCACCTCTTAGAGAAGTGGAGGAATGCATAATATGCAAAGCCGACCTATCCATCTCCATGTACAGGTAGGATAAAACAGCTGCTCCCAAAGCGAACCGTCCAGCTCTCTGCCAATCCTCAATCAGAAGTAGGTACTATAGGTGCACCGTAGCTCCAGACCGATCCGGAAATAGTACACCTCCCATCAGAGATAGAGCATAAGCTCGTGCAAACTGCTCTATAACCTCCTGGGATGCATTTCTCGGCAGATTACTGAATTCATCCCTCAGCAAAACAATTCTAACAACACCGCATGAAAGATCATCCGGAACCCGTCCTAACAGTCCCAAACAGATCGCCGGCCACTCCTCATCCGGTATGTCAACTACGATGGCATCACCGTGATCGCCAGGCCGGAAAGTGTCACAACGTCCTCTAACGTGATCGTGACCTCACCAAACGGTAAATGGAAGATCGACGTCTCAGGTCGCCAACGCTCTACGAGCGCACTAATCAAACTCGCATCAGAATTCATAGGGACCAGGGGCAAAACACTAGACAAGCCCGCTGTTCCGAGATATGGCTGATAACGCTCATGATACCTGACTAAATTGGTCATACCTCGAACATGGTAAGATCGATCACCAGCCTATAGTGCACAATTCAGATATTAATTCAATTTCATTCGTAATAATTCTAATTTATCTAATCTAAAATTATACTAATTTCAAAAAATTTGATACGTAATGCTATTCTAATTTCAGTACATTTCAGTTCACCTACTAAAATAATCTAATCTAACTAGCTAATTTAACTTTACATGAATAGTTATCAAATACTTACCTCGTTTGCCCAAACTGAGTCGATACGATGTTGACCATGTCCCCAAAGAAGTACCGGATCGACCGGAGCTGGATCAATTGTCGCAGGCGGTAGTCTCATCGTATAACTGTCCATAAGCCTAGGAACTGCAAAAGCAACAAAAACATTAATTTAAAAAAAAAACCGGCAACGACAAGATTCCGGCCGCCACCGGCGAGATTCTGGTCGTTGCCGGCGTGATTCTCACCACGAAAATGGTTGCCGCCTCCACGACCTCGCCAACCTCTCCCCCTGCCTCTGTCGGCGACTGCTTCCTCTTCGTCGGACGATGACATCTGCTCCGTCGAACTCAGGCGTTGCCTCTGTCTACAGCGGCGGGGCCGCATGTGTATGCGGCGGGGTTGCTTCCGTCTGGGGCGATGGCGGCGTGGCGGTCTGGTTTTTCGGGCGAGAGGCGGTTGGGGGGTGTGGTGTGGGGGAAGGAAGAAGAAGAAGATAAGATAAGAAAGGAGTGGCCGCTAGGTTTAAAAAAAAAAATGAGTGTGGAGGTGGGGGCGCTGGAGACTCAAGCGCCAGCGCCTGAGACCTGTTTTATAATTTCAAAACGCGGTCCCGTCTGAGTCTCTGGCGGCCGCGCCTATAACCCTACACAAATACACAATATTTGCGTAAATACTTTTTAATCCGCCACATTGATGGTAAATTAAAAAAAAATTATGTCATTAATCCCGAATAATATACGTCATCCTTTTGTTTAATGGATACATAATAAATTACTATTTATAAATAAGATTTACGTAGTGTTTGATCATTATGGAAAACTTACATATCATTTTTTTAATTGATACATATAAATGATTATTTGTCCATAAATTTACATAGCGTCTTTATCATTAAGGGAAACCCATGTAACATTTATAGAATGTTATTACGTAAATCTTCCATAATGTGTGGTCTAATAATAAAATCAAGTTATAGTAAGTAACATTAATCAATTTTTAATTTGTGTAACTGTTAAGAATGTTGTTACATAAATATTTTCTAATGTGTGATCTAATAATAAAATAAAATTTTAGAAATTAACATATGGTTAAAAAAGTATTTCTAAGTTAACTAATCAAGAGCTTATGGTAAAATTGGATGTAAGAGATAAAGAACTGTTATAGAACGTTGTTGAATAAATCTTTTACAATGTGAGGTCTAAAGATAAAATCAAATTTTAGAAAGTAACATAGGATTAAAATTGTTATGTCAAAATTAACTAATATTGCATAATGAGAACTGATGACATATTAATTATTTTGTTAACAATAATGAAATTTTGGTTAATATTAAAGGAGTAATTAAATATTGCTAATATTATTTAGTAATAAACATTGAAAAAAACATAATTTTAGTTAATAATTATATATTTAATAACCGACCTACGAATCTTTGTGTAATGTTAAGTTGGATGTGGACCAAAAGACATCCTAGAATTTCATATGAGTTAGACTTACCGTATAATTGGTTGTAGGGGATAAATCTCATATGAATTATATTGCTCAAAAGGAGAAAAAAGAGGATTATGATAAAATAGAATATATGGGATAAAACCTCATTGTGAACAGCACCCATGGAGAAAAAAATAACCGATATATAAACTGTTTGTATAATGTTAAGTTGGATGTAGAGAAAAAGACTTATCGTAGAATTTCATGAGTTTTAGACTTGGTTGTAGTGGATTAAACTCATATGAATAGTATATGCTGAAAAGGAGAAAAAATAGGAATAATGGTAAAATTGGGTATATGGAATAAAAACCACTTTGTGAACGGTATTCGTGGAGAAAAAAATATTGAAAAGTGTTTGTGCTTTTAATGATAAAAAAAATATATTGAGAATTGCGAAACCATACCACAGGTGGTATCGGAAAAATCAGTGATAAGATATTTTATACGGAGAATGATAATTCATAATTACACACCTATGAATTACCAACCAAGTCTAGTACTCCTATCAATCAGTGACAACAACAATGTTGTTACTTATAAACTTAGGATTTGCAGAAATATTTGAGTTTCCTATGTAGTACGTACGGTAAACCTAGTGAGAAACCATACCAGATTTTGATTAATTGGAACAAAACTTGCATTGTCAATCGTTACAACACACTTAAACCAAAGGCATAAACTCGACAGTCGTATATATGGTTAACGAAGCCGGCTGGTCGCCCATCAAGCAGAGACAGAGACGGAGACATTTTATTCTGCCGTATAAAACCCCAAGTACAATTGTGTGTTGTTTTTGTTTTCTAATGGCAAATATTATTCACAAAGACTAACAAAAACTGTACAAAGTAAAAGTGTTGTTAGTAAGACGTCACAACCAGCCGACCGAAACCAGTATATATAGGACGAAGGGGATGCTCATGTAAGCACCAATCCCTTCACTAAGCAACCAAAGAGGGAAAAAACAATGTTTCATCTTTGCTCCCTTCTTCCTCTTCTTCTTCTTCTCGAGTTCAGTTTCCATGCCACGTCAACCGATGACTTCTCCACGTACATCGTCCACCTAGACCCATCCTCCCGTCCAAAACACTTCACCACCAATCAACAATGGCACTCCTCAATCGTCTCCGCCGTCAAATCCTCGACCAGTACAACTTCCGACAACCACCATCACTTCTCATTGTGAGAAACACGGATAATCGAATCAGAAATTAGGGTTGAGAATAGAAGAATTAGGGTTGAGAATTGGGAATTGAGATGAGAATTGAAGAAGAGATGAGGAATTAGGTTTAGGGATTCTGATATTCTGCTTGATTCCTCAAAATAACAAAGACTGTAGCTTAAATAGTTCTCCCTCTCTAATAATGACAAATTACCCAAATACCCCCAAATACCCCCTCTAGGCCACTCGGCCCCTCTCACATCGTGTCTCTCACACTCCCCCCTTCTTCCAGACCGAGCTTGTCCTCAAGATCGAAGGCCGGATAGGTCTGGCGAATAGTCTCCGTGTCCTCCCAAGTAGCTTCTTCCGGCGCCAAGTGCCTCCACTGAATCAAGCTCTCGGAGACCCGCCTCTTGCCACGGAGGGGCCAGCGGACATCCAACACAGCCTCGGGCTCCAGCTCCAACGCGCCATTCTCGTTCACCGGCGGCTCGGGTGGTGGGTCAGACGGTGCTACTCCTCGGTACCTGCGCAGAAGTGAGACATGAAAAGTCGGGTGAATCCGAGATGCATCCGGTAGCTGCAACCTGTACGCCACGGCTCCGATCCTCTCCAGCACCTGGTACGGCCCAAAATATCGGGCCGCGAGCTTCTGGTAAGCTCTCTTAAACACTGACGTCTGCCGGTAAGGGTGCAGCCTGAGTAGAACCCAATCGCCCACTGCGAACTCCTCGTCGCGCCTTCCGGAGTCCGCCTGCTGCTTCGACCTGTTGTTGGAAGCGGCCAAATTGGCCTTCAACTGTTGCAGTGCCTCATCCCGGTCCGCCAACCACCTGTCCACCACATCCACTGCACTCGCCCCTGACTGGTACCGGACCAACATCGGTGGCGTCCTCCCGTAGAGAGCCTCGAAGGGAGACATCTGAATAGATCGATGGTATGTGGTATTATACCACAGCTCCGCCCAGGGCAGCATAGCGAACCACCGGCGCGGCTGCTGGTGAGCAAAACACCGCAGGTACTGCTCCAGTATCTTGTTCACCACCTCAGTCTGCCCATCTGTCTGAGGATGATAGGCCGAACTCATCTTCAGCTCCGTTTTCGCCAAGGCGAACACCTCCTTCCAGAACCTGCCCAGGAACAATGCATCTCGATCACTCACTATCGAGCGGGGAAACCCGTGGTGCCGAATGACCCCCCAGACAAACTGCTCTGCTACACTCCGGGCAGTATACGGATGAGCTAGGGCCATGAAGTGTGCATATTTGGTGAGGCGATCCACCACCACCAAAAGAACTGTCTTTCCACCCGACGGCGGAAGACCCACGATGAAGTCCATGCTAATATCTTCCCATACCCGCTCCGGCACTGGCAGTGGCTGAAGTAGTCCTGCTGGCCTCAGCTGGGAAGCCTTGACCCGCTGACAGGTGTCACAGGATGCAACGTAATCCTTGACCTCGCGGGTCATCTGTGGCCAGTAGAAATGACCGCGAATCTTCCTCAAGGTCCTCTCGTACCCCGAATGGCCGCCCACCGGCGAATCGTGAAATTCCCTCATCACAGTCGTCGTGAGGGAGGTGGCTGGAGGTAGAACCACGCGACCCCGGTGAAACACCAATCCGTGCCTGAAGGTATAGTTGCCAGGTGTCTGACTGAGAGCGATATCCCGGCGCTCCTGCAGGAACGGACTCGCCTCCACCGCCCTTCTGACCTCCTCCCAGAACAACACCACCGGCCCTGTCACTGCCGCCACCTGCGGCCTCCACTCCACCCGCGAGAGGGCATCCGCGGCCTTGTTCATCGGCCCTGGTCGATAGTGCAACTCATAGTCGTATCCCATCAATTTCACCACCCACTTATGCTGGTCTGGGGTGGACACCCTCTGGTCCATCAAATGCTTGAGACTCTGGTGATCGGTGTAGATCCGGATCTTCTGACCGATCAAGTAGGGTCTCCACATCTGGACCGCCTCAGTAATGGCGTGCATCTCCTTCTGGTAGGTGGACCAAGCCTCCTTAGATGGAGGGAGGGTACGGCTCATGAAGGCGATGGGATGCCTTTCCTGTGAGAGAACCGCCCCAATTCCCCGGCCAGAGGCGTCAGTCTCGATGTCAAAAGGCTGAGAGAAGTCCGGTAAGGCCAGAACTGGTGTCGATGAGAGGGCGGCCTTGAGCTCCACAAAAGCTCGCTCTGCTTGGGGATTCCAGCTAAATCCCCCCTTCTTCAGCAAGGCATTCAACGGACCGGCTATAGAACTGTACCCCTTCACGAACCGCCTGTAGTAGCCAGTAAGACCGAGGAAACCCCGCAGCTCCGTTGCCGACTTCGGCACCGGCCAGTCCATCATGGACTGAATCTTCAACGGATCCACCCTAACTCCGTCGCCTGAAATAACATGGCCCAAATAGTCCACTGACTGGACCCCAAAGGCACACTTCGAAGCCTTCACATAAAACTGGTTGCTTCGTAATATCTCAAACACCTCCTGCAAATGCTGCATATGCTCTTCCCAAGTCTTACTGAAAACCAGAATATCGTCAAAGAATACCAAGACTGACCTGCGGAGCAAGGGCCGAAAAATGTCGTTCATGGCGGCCTGGAATGTCGATGGTGCATTACAGAGTCCGAACGGCATGACCAGGTACTCGTAATGGCCACTATGCGTCCGAAAAGCCGTCTTAGGAATGTCCTCCTCGTGCATACGTATCTGGTGGTACCCTGCCCGCAGATCGAGCTTGGTAAAGTACTGGGCACCCCGTAGCTCGTCTAGCATGTCATCCACCGTGGGAATGGGAAAACGATCTCGGACAGTGGCGGTGTTGAGTACTCGGTAGTCCGTACAAAACCGCCAGGTGCCATCCTTCTTCTTCACCAGCAACACCGGCGAGGAGAACGGGCTGGAACTTGCCCGAATCAGCCCGGCTGTCATCATCTCCTCCACCTGCCTCTCGATCTCGGCCTTCTGGTTATGTGCATACCGGTAGGGGCGAACGTTAACTGCGTCCGTGCCCTCCTTCAGCCGAATCCGATGGTCCACCTGGCGCTGTGGAGGAAGCTGGGTCGGCTGCCCAAAGAGCTCCTCATACCGGTCCAGCAATGCCTGTAAGTCTGGGGCTAACGGCTGCGGATCGGCTGACCCCAGTGGCCAACAGAGCACAGCTAGCTCGGCATCCTCCTCCAGCTGCGGGTCACCCCACTCCACCGGCCCAATTGCCGTGGTCAACCCCTGGAGTTCCCAGTCCTTGTCCCTCCATTTGAACTTCATAACCATCTTCACCCAGTCGCTAGTCACCGGTCCCAAACTCTTCAGCCAAGGCATGCCCAAAATGATGTCGAAGCCCTGCAAGGGTAGGACGTACAAGTCAAGAGGGACCTGCAGCCCTTGAATCCTCACAGTCACTCCTGCCAATTTCCCGGTGCACTGCAGCGGCGCCCCATTGGCCACCTTCACCTCGAATGGAACGACTGTCACCTGTGATATAGGTAATCGGCGTACAAACTCTGCTCCGACGAAGTTGAGAGAAGCCCCGCTGTCTACTAAGGCCACTCCCCACTCCCCTGCGACCTGCGCCCTGAAACGCAGCGTAGCCGAACCCGCTGTCACGCCGGCGGCCACGGCGGAGATGGCCTCCTGCTCGTCGCCGCCCCCCTTCTCCTGCGGAGCTGCTGCCGCCGCCGAGGGCCTCTCCTCCTCCCCGGTCAGCCGTCGCGAGCCAGGCCCGCCCGGCGCGCTGGGCGCGCTCCCCATCGCCGCGTCGCGCGTCTCACTCGCCGCGACGGTCGCGGCCTTCCCCTGCGCGAGCAACTCCCGCCGCGGCGCTGCTGTCGGCACCGCTGGGCCAGCGGAGCTCGGGCCCTCCACCACGTCGCCCCTTCGCCGCCAGTCGGCGGCTACGCGCTCCAGCCGGTCGAGGACGTCCCGCAGACGAGCATCGAGCGCAAGCTCGTGGTCCCTATCAGAGAGTCCTTGAGAACTCATATCGACAGGCTCTGATACCAATTGTGAGAAACACGGATAATCGAATCAGAAATTAGGGTTGAGAATAGAAGAATTAGGGTTGAGAATTGGGAATTGAGATGAGAATTGAAGAAGAGATGAGGAATTAGGTTTAGGGATTCTGATATTCTGCTTGATTCCTCAAAATAACAAAGACTGTAGCTTAAATAGTTCTCCCTCTCTAATAATGACAAATTACCCAAATACCCCCAAATACCCCCTCTAGGCCACTCGGCCCCTCTCACATCGTGTCTCTCACACTCATCCCTCGAAAACTCCTTCTTGTACTCCTACCAAAACGCCCTCCATGGATTCAGCGCTGTTCTATCCCAACAAGAACTCCAAACCGTTCAAAACCACCCGGGGTTTCTTTCATCCTACAAAGACAAACTCGTCACGATGGACACCACATATACTTCCCAGTTCATGTCTCTCAACCCATCAACCGGCCTCTGGCCTGCCTCGAACTTTGGCGAGGACGTGATCATCGGTGTAATCGACACCGGAATCTGGCCCGAAAGTCCAAGCTTCAGCGACCACGGTATGACTTACCCCTCCAAGCTCCCATCCAAATGGAAAGGAATATGTCAAGAGGGACAGGACTTCAACTCTTCCCTATGCAACTCCAAGCTCATTGGAGTTAGATACTTCAACAAAGGGGTCAGATCCGCCAACCCGAATGTCACCCTCACGATGAATTCGGCTCGAGACACCATAGGACACGGGACGCACACCTCCTCCACCGCAGCAGGGAACTACGTGGAAGGTGCATCCTACTTCGGCTACGCTGATGGCGTGGCTCGAGGCATGGCGCCTCGAGCCAGGGTGGCCATGTACAAGGTGATATGGGACGAGGGACGTTGCGCCTCGGACGTGCTGGCTGGAATGGACCAGGCCGTGGCGGATGGAGTCGACATCATCTCCATCTCCATGGGGTTCGATGGTGTCCCGTTGTACGAGGATCCCGTCGCGATCGCCTCGTTTGGTGCAATGGAGAAGGAGATTCTGGTCTCCTCCTCCGCGGGCAATAATGGGCCCAGAGGGATTCCATTGCATAATGGAATCGCCTGGGTGATGACCGTGGCAGCGGGCAACTTTGACCGCACTTACGTCGCGAGTTTGACCGTGGGGAATGACAAGGAGAAAGAACAACACATCATAGTCGGGAGGAGCATATTCCCGCTAAATGCATGGGTTAAGAATGAAACCCTTATCTACAACAAGACACTCTCCAAATGTGACTCTCTCGAGTTGCTCTCGCAAGCTCCACGTGCTATTATTGTCTGCGAAGACACAGGGTTTTTAAACGATCAAATGCGGGCAATCTCTGGGGTGACAAACCTCGCTGGTGCGATCTTCGTCTCTAAAGATCCTTCTCGTGTCGACTTAGAGTCAATGAGTTGTCCAGGCGTGTTGATTTCCACGATGGAGTTGGCTACGGTCATCGACTACATCAAGAGTAGCGATAACCCTATTGGTGCAATCAAATTCCGCCAAACTGTGACGAGGAAAGATATCGCTCCCTCAGTAGCTGGCTACACATCTCGAGGTCCTTCTCCGAACTGCCCTGCGATTCTAAAGCCGGACGTTATGGCTCCAGGAAGCCTCGTGCTGGCTTCCTGGATCCCAAATGGCTCCACAGCCTTAGTAGGAAAAAATATGTTGTTGACCAGTGAAGGGTTCAATCTCATCTCAGGCACGTCGATGGCTTGTCCTCACGCTTCCGGCGTGGCGGCGATGCTGAGAGGAGTGCATCCGGAATGGAGCCATGCAGCTATCAGATCGGCCATGATGACGACTGCTGCTCAGCTGGACAGTTCTATGATGCCTATCAAAGACTTTGGCCTAAATTACACTGCCGCATCTCCTCTGGCTATGGGAGCGGGCCATATGATGCCGAATAAGGCCATGGACCCTGGTCTGGTCTACGATGCGACTCCACAGGAATACGTGTCTCTGCTATGTTCGATGAATTTTACCAGGAATCAGATCATGACCATCACCAGATCGAACGAGTACGACTGTGCAAACTCCTCGTCGCTCGATCTGAACTACCCGTCGTTCGTGGCGTTCTACGATAAGAATGTGACTACCGGAGCGATGTTGACGCACAAGTTTCGAAGGGTCGTGACCAATGTGGGAGCCGCGACGGCTTCGTACGAAGTGAAGGTGGCTCCACCGGTGGGAGTGAAAGTTGCGGTGTGGCCTCAGAGGTTGGTTTTCGGGAAGAAGAACGAGCAGAGAGATTACTTCGTGGAGATAACGTATGGGAGTGATGGTGAAGGGATGGTTTCGTACGGTTCGATTGTTTGGGTTGAAGAAAGTGGGAAGCATACTGTGAGGAGTCCGATTGTTGTTGCGCCAACTTCTTCTGCTGGCTCTGTTTGGATGCATGTTTAGGGGTGTAAGTCTGGTCCTGGTCACTAGATACTCACTGGTCCAGCCAATTTCGAGGGTCGAGTTGGTCTACATGGTCAATTTAAAATCGGATAAATTTGGGTTAATTTAGCGTCCGGTCACTTTTGGCCCTATTTCCCACAACAAGAGCTAGTGGTTTTGGAGGTTTGCCTAGTTTCACCATATTGTTTGTGTATTGCATGAAAAAAAAATTGGTGGGTTTTTTTTTTCATTGAATAAATTTGGAGGTTTCAATAGTGCCTCATGGTGAATAAAATGATTGGACAACTACAAGTCAATATGGGTATTCTTGACGAATGGATGGCACTAAATAATTGGAAAGATCCAATTGCACTGGTCCAGGTTACCAAGTAACGGTAGAGGGGTAAAATACCTCGGGTACCACTAAAGTATGAGAATTGGGGGAGGTATATCACTTAAATTTGAATAGGATGCCGGGTACCACAATTCCGGTCGAGTTGATGGTACAGTACGGTTTCACAAACACTTCATTACATTTTAAATGGGAGAATGATAATCCATAGTTATACACCTACTCATTACCATTTACCAACCAAGTTTCTATTTAAACCTATAATAATTTTGGCCTAAATTAAATGCCGCATTAATTAGTCTCGGTATTTAATTCGATGCCGCATTACAAAAAAACGGTGTTGTGTGGTGTTAAGCGGCATCGCGGAGTGTTAAAACGACACCGCGAGGAAGCTTAACAATACTGAGGTGCTTAAAACGACATTGTTTAGTGAAAACAATGTCGGATTCACTCGGCCTGTTGGTGTTGTTATTGGAAAAAAAATGTTTTTTTTTATTTTTTCCTTGTCGGATGAGGGATAAAACGGTGCCGCGAACGTCAAAGCTCAACGGCATCGCGAGACTAGGAAACGGTGTCGTTTGGCTAAAAACGGCACCGCGAGTAAACCCAATGACACCGCGGATTAGAAAACGATACCGCAAAAGGTCTTGGTAAGCGATGTCGTTTAGGTAAAAACTATACCACAACGGGTTGGAGTTTGGAGAGGGCGGCCCAGCAAGCCCAAGGGCACCGCAAGACGAGAAAAATGGTATCGTTTGGTAGAAAACAATATCGTGGAATGAAAAACGACATTGTTTGATGGGACCGGGACGGAGCAGTTCAAGGTCGGCATCGATTAGTGAAAAGCGATGTCGCAGAAATATTAAACAGCACCGATGGATGAGAATTTGACCACGTGACAATAATGAGCCGGTTTAATTAACATGTTTAATAATTATTTTAGATGGTGTTGTTTGGCTAAAAACGACGTCGCGAGAGAAAACAAGACTGCGGATTAGAAAACGACAGTGTTTAATATAAAACAATGTCGTGGAGTGAAAAAGCAAACGGAGCTGTTTGGGGAAGAAAACCACACCGCAAGTAACCCGACAATGCTGCGGTACGTGAAATATTAAATTAATGCGGTGTCGCATGGCTAAAAATACCGCTAGTTAAACAACAACGCAGCGGAATCGACGTTGCGGTCGCAAATTCAGCGACGTTACGAGTACGACAACGCCGAGAAATTCAACGATGCCGCATTGCCAAAACAACATCGTGGAGCTCAACGACGTAGTGAGCTTGACGGTGTTGCAAGCTGAGCAATGCCGTGAATGGGTTCAATGACGTCGTTATGGAAACTTTGTTGGTGGAGGTGTAAACGACGTCCCGGGCTAATGAAAATAATGGACTTATTTTCTTGCACGTGAGATTCGGGAGTGAAGAGAAGATCAAAGCGGTTGAAGACTACGACAGTGTGGAGAAGAGTGAAGACAAGTGGGAGTTCACAACGGAGCGGTTGAGGAAGCAGTTCCACGGGGCGTGAAGACTACGCAAGTGATTTCAGATAAAATCACCGGAGCAAGGAGAGAGAGGGGACAACCAAATCAACACAGAAACACATCTGTCAAACTTACCTTTATCTCTATAACTCCTTCGCGGAGCTCTTCTTCCATGAAGGATCTCCATAGTCGTAGCTATAGTGTAGTCGCGGAGCTCTCCACATGAATCTCCATAGGAGTAGCGGTAACTATTTTTTTAAACAGAGTATTTTATTGGTATGGATGAAGACTCCATTATTAATAAATTTGCTAAATTAAAAGACTATTATGTACAATTGACATTGTAATGAAAACAATAATATCATATATTTTTGTTCACGATATCTAATTTTCTATTCAAATGCGGCTCAGTGCTCTATCATGTCCTAGATCCGTCGTTGCCACTGAACCCCTTAAATTTACTTTGCTTTATATATTCAAATAATATATATTGAGAATTGTGAAACCATACAAGAGGTTGTATCGGAAAAGAATTAAGTGGTAAGATATTTTGTACTGAAACCGTGTTTTAATCAGAGTTCAATTATTACATACCGCTAAAACCTCCTCAGAGTTTTGGTTTCAATAAGAGATTTTTCCGATTAGAGTGTTGGTATGGTGCAGTTTTACAAACACTTAATTACATTTTAAATGGGAGAATGATAATTCATAGTTACACACTTATGGACTACCAAGGGATCTGTTAGCATGCTAACCCTTCTAAGGGGTTGAAAAAATGACACCCTTATTAATTATAGTTATTTTTTGTAATAAATTCGTGTTGCATTTAATAATTTTTGGAAATTAAAAACTCATCTTAATTACATTCCTTTTTTTTAACTACCATTGCACCTGTATACTGAACTCATATTAATTACGTTCCTTTTTTGGAACTACCATTGCAATGATACATCTACCATTGCACTTATACAACTACCAGTGCACAGAAAAAAGGAAAGTAATTAATATGTGTATTTAATTCATACAGATTATTAAATGCAACACAAATTAATTACCTTAAAACCTATAATTAATAGGGGTATCATTTTGCCAACCCTTTTAGAGATAGGCATGCTATGTCATCCGGCTCAAGATAGGGTGCATAACCATGGGTTATGCATCCATCAATAACCAAATCTGAACTCTTCATTTAGAAAATCCAGATCTAAGGATGGGGAATTAAAGATCATTTTTATTTTCTCTAGCTTTCTTAATCGGCTCATATCTTTTTCGTTTTAACTCGGATTTTAATTTTTTTTGCACAGGTGGAACGAGTTCATCGTGCTCTACAAAATGAGATCAATTTTAAATATTTTTTTAGAACAAAAAATTATGGCCTCTCGGTACCAACTGCATACCATATGGTATTTTCTTCATTTTTAATTCATTTTTGAAAACGTTTGCACAAAAGGGAAGAGTTCATCATGATCTATTAGATCTACAAATTTCTGGGTGAACAAATTACAGGACCAAAAAATACCACACAATACCATACAATACCACCCTGGTACGGGGTGGTATTGTATGGTATCTTCTTCGTTTTTAATTCGTTTTTGAAAACGTTTGCACAGAAGGGACGAGTTCATCATGATCTATTGGATCTACAAATTTATGGGTGAAAAAATTATAGGACCAAAAAATACCACACAATACCATACAATACCACCCTGGTACGGGGTGGTATCTTGTGGTATACAATGTTAAAAGTCGTAAATGACAATTAATATATTTCTACTATCATGTATTCAACCATCCTACAGCCTTGGTTTGTTCATACCACCATGGTATTTTTTTCATACCATATGTATGCTTTTATTTCAATACCAGATTACCAGTCAATACCATATGGTATAGACTGGTAAAAAATTGCTCAATTTTTTTTGTTCGAAAAATATATTAAAGTGGATATCATTTTGAAGAGCACAATTAATCTGATCTAACTGTGCAAAAAAAATTAAATTTCGACTTAAAATGAGTGAGAAATCGTTCTTCAAATATTAAATAGGAGAAAATTAAAGGCTTTCCAGGAGATAGAGGATGTTGATGTCATGCTGATGTGGACAGGTTACTCATGATTACTCACCACAAGGTTACTCACCTTATCTGCTCCCATGTCATCCTATCAACCAAGTCTAATCCTATAAATGAGTGAAAACAATAATGTTGTGTACTTATAAGCTTAGGATTTGCAGAAATATTTGAGTTTCCTATGTAGTACGTACGGAAAACCGTAGAGAGAGAAACCATAATAGATGTTGATTAATTGGAACAAAACTTGCATTGTCAATAGTTACAACACATGGGAGCAGATAGGGGGCGAAATTTGGCTGCAAGTCGGGTTGCAGCTAGGGCTGCAAATGAGCCAAGCCGCTCGCGAACAACTCGGCGATCGGAAAAAACTCGTTTGACACTCGACTCGTTATTTAACAAGCTGGCTCGCGAGCCAACTCGTTAGTTAACAAGCCAAGCTTGAGCTAGACCATGCTCAGCTTGATAAGCTCGCGAGCTAGCTTGATTCAGTGGCTTGTTGAGCTAAGCTTGCGAGCTGCCTTGTTTAGAGCTTGTGAAAGGATGGATTACTCTTTTAAACATGAACATTGTCTTGTTAATACAAATGTGTGTGAAATTTAGATGTTATTTATAGTTTCTAGTGTTATTTCTATCATTTAAATTCTTATGTTTACACATTTTTCCATCAAGAATGATTTTAAATCGAGCTCATCTTGAGCCGAACTTGTACTCAGCTTGACAAGCTATGTTAATGAGCATTTATCAAGCTCTACCGAGTCGAGCTCGAGCTAGATGATTTTTATTCAAGCCGAGCTCGAGCTCGAGCTGGATTATCAAAATTCGAGTTCGAGCCGAGTTCGAGCTAAAAATTTAACAAAAGAGCTAAGCAAAAACTCGACTCAACTCGGCTCGTTTGCAGCCCTAGTTGCAGCCCCTCGATGCTGCCAGACCATGTGGGTGTGTCGGCTAATGGTTGGGCAACAATTAATTTCCAGGTTTTAGTTCCTAACAGAGTGACGAAGGAAAGGAACGGATAGAAAGCTTCCGTTAAAAAGGATATGGAATGGATACAACTTGTATTTATTAATTAGTCCTCTTTCAAACGACTTTTTCTTTCTCTCTCCTTTCTTTAAACGCTC